ATTCATTATTCTAACGACTGTTTAGGACTAACGTCGCCATCTGTGACATTTAGCCGCAACTAAATTTTCCCTCTAAAAATACATGTTAGCCCCAGGACAAGCCAGCATTCTCTTGCGATCGCTGTTGAAAGTATTTTCCATGTTTTTCCATCTGACTCTGTAAAATTCTATTTCTAAGGTATTCTAAATTGTTCGAGCTAGGTCTTGAAACTCTTAATTTTCGATTCTAAGCCTGCAAGAAGTGTAAAACAGCGAAAATGTGCACGGATCACGCCATGCTGGTTCTAGTCACATGATAAATAAATAAATTTTGTATGAAAAATGAGATTTCCTGAGTTTTAGGACGTACTGTATGGTCTCCATATTCGCATGGTAAAACTTGAAACGAATCGGTACCCTCAATTCGAAGAATACTTTCCCCAACGATTTGACCTCTTATATATATATATCTTCATATCACCTTAACCCTTTGCACTCGAGAGGTGACTCTCACAAGGAAGGTATTTCAGGTCGATCTCTCAGATTTGATTTCTTGTATAATATGTCATACTAGACTACAAACTAAGCGACACGTATTTCTTTTTATCTGCCATTAAACAATTTAAGGGGGTGAGACCACCATCCAAAGTAAGGCATGTCAAGGGGCGATTGGCAGTTTCACCCACAAGAACGTAATATATTTTTAACCAATCCACCTGGAAAAGCTTTCTCATAACGAGAAACGAAAAATATAATTTTCTCAATTACAACCAGATCGATCTCTCCGATTTCATTTATTTTATAATATGTTATAGTAGACTAAAAACTAAGCAACACGTATTTCTTTTTATCTGCCATTAAACACTTTAAGGGGGTGAAACCACCATCCAAAGTAAGGCATGTCAAGGGGCGATTTGGCAGTTTCACCCACAAGAACATAATATTTTTTAACCAATCCACCTGGAAAAGCTTTCTCATAACGAGAAATGAAAAATATAATTTTCTGAATTAAAAAAAAAAATTAAGGGGTGAGCCACCCCTCACAGGGCTTACTTTGAATGGTGGTTTCACCCCCTTAAAGTGTTTAATGGCAGATAAAAAAAAATACGTGTCGCTTAGTTTTTAGTCTACTATAACATATTATAAAAGAAATGAAATCGGAGAGATCGCCCTGGGATACCTTCCTTCTCAGTCACCGCTGTCAACACGAATGGCAAAGGCCCCAAACGCAAAGGGCTAATAATAATGGAAGTTTATAATCCTGACGAAGTGAACTCAGATATTCTACCCTCGAGGACGAGAGAACGGTTAAATGGAGTATCCTCTGATTCCGAATATCCTGAAACCGTGCTCCTCTTGTCTTTCTCCCATGTTGAAATAATTAAAAAGATAATACCCGCGGATAATAATAAATTCCAGCAACGAGGCGGTCTTGTTTGAAAAAACCCGGCGGTAAATTCAAGAGGCCGGGAGGGGTAGTCGCAAGGACCGGAAGTGGCGGAGATCTCGAGTTTCAGGGGTATCATTTTTTTCCTTAGAAACGCCATCATCGAGAAGAAGCGCGGCAAAAGGAAGAGCACGCGATGGCGCCAAGTACTTCGCCAGGTTGATCCAAGGGTTTACGAGCTTCGACTAACGCGGCTCTACCTATACTCGTCCTTTCCCTCCTAGATACTCTACACCTGTTCCTGACCTCGTTTACGAGCAACCTGTACATCGTCCTCGAAGGAACGCGGCGTCGTTAGCGACGAGTTTACGCGTCGTTGGCTCGTAAGTCCTTCCACGCTCCGGTCATTTTTTCAGATTAATGTCTGCACGGCCCTCCGACCTCCGCGCGATCTTTATTACCGGCCGATGGTATTGGATCTTTCCTTCGAGAATATTCTCCCGGGAAGAAATACGAGGACAACGGAACTCGGTTCGGAAGTTCCTTGACCCGGGATTTCGAGTCATCTATACCTTCCGGAAAGTTATGACGAATAATTGTCAGCAGGGTTGGGTAAGCATAATACGCCATGTAATATACGTGGTTCTCTGCGTATATATTACAACGTATAATACGTCTCTAGTTTTCTACGTGAGCGCAAAGTACTTTATACTCTTCTTCTTTTAAATAGAAAATAACAAATTCAATTAGAAATTCGATATTAAACGGGGTTAAATCGACAGAATTTAAAGACAAAGGCCAAATGAATTATTTCTTAACAATTTTTACGTGTTTGTATCTATCTTGTTACATAATATACATAAAAAATATCGAAAAATGGGGAATCACTCAACCCTGGTTGTCGGTAACTCAAAGTGAGTTTGTTGGAGATGTTTATGGAGGCCTTCCCCTAGTAGCACAGAATATTTTCTAAATATTTGTTGAAAATCTCAATGACATATTTAGCTTCAATAATTTATATCCACGTATCAAAATTANATGTCTGGTAAATATTTACAAAATGTACGGTATTGGTTAAATATATAGAAAATATAAGACGAATATTTTGTGCTACAAGGGTCGTTACTTGAGAAGATCAAACGGGTGGATGATGGCGCGATTCATTCTATTTGTCCAGGCTAGTTTTCTTTACCTGCAGGCAAATGGAATTATAATGCTCTAAACTGCAAGCAGGAGGAAAGGATCGTTCGATCGAAGCTATCCCTTCGTAAATCCTGGCTTTCTCTCTCGAAGGGACGGCGAAAAGCCGGCGATTTATTCAATTATTCGGAGGCCCCATCGGCGAACGCTGCTGGATATGAAAGCTCGCTTTAATTACGCTCCATTAAGCACGCGTGTCAACCACGACCTCGGAGTTATTCGATATCGTATACCTCCCGAAACGGCGAGGACCTCACATATATAGGATGTTTCCAACACGTACATGTCTACATATCCTGAATAGATTGATACCTTCTACAACTTATCGAGGGCATCTACTCTATGGCCCCATTTATCGGGGGCATTTATCTGTATTCAATGTTTCGTTAAGCTGACATGAAAGTGCGATATGTACATGCCAATAAGTGAAAATATTCGTAAAACTTTTCTCCAAACTGGGTGCACAAAATTATCTAATACTTTAACACGCGATTATCGAGGCTCTAAGGAAGAACGCGCTGACCGTGAAATTTAATTTCTTGAGAGAAAAAAAAAAAGGAAAGATATCTTTCTTTGGTTTTTGTCAGAGATAAGTACAACATTTTTGGTAGAAAAAAGAAATTTCACCAGCAGCGCGTTATTCCTTAGGACCTACATAATCAAGTGTTAAAGTTTCAGATAATTCGGTGCACCCAGTTTGGAGAAAAGTTTGATCAATATTTCGACTTTTTGTTATATAGTAGCCTAGAATAATTTCTAAGCATTTCTTTATAATCTCTATTAGGTTCTCTATTTTTTTTCTTTTTTTTTTTTAATTTATCTTTATATCGCCCATCACGAGGCACATGATCCAAGGATCGGAAGATCGAAAAAGAATAGGTACGTTGCCTAGAAGGGTGAAATAAAATACAGGCATAAATTCAGGGAACCCATGCGGCTAATGCGGCGATGAATTCGTCCATGTATGGTGTTCATGTATGGTTAACGTTACGTTACCGTTCGCCGAGTTAATGTTTCACACTCTGGTGGACTTCGAAGCCGTAATTCTGGAAAGTAGGACGAATAATCGCTGACAACGCTCGGAATTGCTCCGGTGATACCGGCCAGGACCTCGCTCAAAGATTTATGTCGTATATAGATAGTGCCATCATTCCTGACAGGTCATTAAAATGTCCCGGGGTAATTTATAAAATCATTAACTATTCGAGCCATGATGGATGACTTTCTTAATATCTGGGATAGAATTCCTCTTTCGTATTACGCGCCGTTTACGACCATCTGGACGAGAGTACGCGACGTATCGTACTCGTACAGAGCAAAAGAATTTCATTTCTATGCGAAATTAATTATCTGCGACAGTCTAAATGATTCTTGCTAAAGGTACTTCTTGGGTACAGCGAAACTGATTTTTTGTAGGAATCGGCGACGTTGCGAGTCAATTCATTATGGCAGCAAAACGTGTGATTTTGATTTTAAATATTTTTAAAACGTTTATAATGTTTTGTATATCTATAAGAAAGATATGACTAAAACACGTGAAGCTAATATTGTACAAATGTAACAACAACAACAATAATCTAATACTAGTGAACATTTTTCCGTCGCGAGAATTTCTAGTTTCGTAGAAAGTGATTCTTTCGCCTGGTGCAAAAATCTTGTAAATTGTTGACAATATTCTTCGTTTTGGAATTATTCCGGAAAGCCGTTTTCTAATGAGATGACAAGCTGTAGATACGCTCGGAAAGCAATTAATTCGATCGATAACAAGTGACAATTTTTCCGTCGCGAGAATTTCTAATTTCGTAGAAAGTGATCCTTTAACACGGTGCAGGAACCATGTAAATTGTTGACAATATTCTTCCTTTTGGAAATATTCCGGAGAGCCGCTCTCTGGTGGGATGACAAGTTGTAGATACGCTCGGGAAGCAATTAACTCGATCGATAACAAGTGAACATTTTTCCTTCGGGAGAATTTCTAGTTTCGTAGAAAGTGATCCTTTCGCCCGGTGCAAAAATTGTGTAAATTGTTGACAATATTCTTCCTTTTGGAAATATTCCAGAAAGCCGCTCTCTAATGAAATGACAAGTTGTAGATACGCTCGGGAAGCAATTAATTTGATCGATAGCAAGTGAAGATTTTTCCGTCGGAAGAATTTTTAGTTTCGTAGAAAGTGATCCTTTTAGCACGGTGCAGGAACCATGTAAATTGTTGACAATGTTCTTCCTTTTGGAAATATTCCGGAGAGCCGCTCTCTGGTGGGATGACAAGTTGTAGATACGCTCGGGAAGCACGAGATAGGTCCGTCAAATGTGGTCAACAGCTGGCGCGGTACTTTTTGGCCATCCCTGAGGCTGGGTACACAATCTCCCACTGTTCCCTGTCCCTCGGGATGAATCATGCACTGCGAAACCCCGGGACTCAGTTTTCGACCAGCTATACGACAGGGTGGACGGCTGCATACCACGGTAGTATCTCGTTCGCGCCTCGATTTCCTCTCTTTGCCGACGCGACGGTTCTGCGAGTGAGTTTAACCCGTCTCTACAAAAGTACGCGGTTTCGATAAAATTGAAAAATGTGCGCCCCTCGCACTTTGGTCTCGTCCTTCGGAAAATATGTCGGCTATTTCTTGTCGAGCTCCATTTAACGACTCGTTTTAAGAAGCGGCATTGAAATCCCGCCCCAGGAACCAGTGCACCCTTCGCTTTTCATTGAAAATCCAATTTCCTCGTTGATATGGAAATAATAATCGCCTACGCGTCAAACATTGAATTATTTTTCACCCTTTCCTCCGAGGGAAGATGCGAGATATTCCTGCAGTCGATATGTATCGATCGAGGACACTTTTCGATTTTATCGAAGGGACAAATTGTACTGTCAAAGTAATATCAGAGATGAGCGGGAAGATGTTTCAAGCCATTGTCGAAAGGGACCCTAGTAGCACAGAATATTTTCTAAGTATTTTTTGCAATCTTTGCTACATATCTCAAGCAACAGATTTTTTAAGATGCCTCGTAGATTTCATTTGAAGATATATAAAATATTTCTTGAAAATCTCAATGACATATTTAGCTTCAATAATTTATATAAACGTATCAAAATTATATTCTTTAATTTATAAACGTATAATAAAGATACATTTTTTACTTTACGATTATTATCGGTCCGTTTATTTGGTATATGAAAAACACAAAAATTTTTGCAAAATTTTCGTTCCACTGTTTCATTGTGGGAGCAAAATATGTGATTTGCATTTTAGATATTTTTAAAACGTTCATAATGTATTTGGCGGATAATATTTCAAAAAATACTTATGTTAAAATGACACGAAATGTTTCGTATATCTAGAAGAAAAATATCACGAAAACACGTGGAGCTAATATTATACAAATATTTAGAAATTATTCTATGCTACTAGGGTTCGTTTTCATTCGCTATCGCGTTTCAAGATGTACATAAAAATTAGCAATAAATTTTGCAACAAATTTTGTTGAATTCTGCTAAAGTGGCACTTCTATCTTTATATACATCGTTTCGATCCAATAGGTATAAAGACTTGGAAGATGTTTCTTTCTGCGTGGATTCTGGCTATGGGGTTGCACTGTATTATCGGGACACCCTTATCATCGACTGACTTTTCGTTACCAAACGATGCCCAGTCCGAATGTAACTGCCCCGAAATGAAAGTCAACAATTGGAATAACGTGCCGAACCCGTTTTCATCCCTCCTCAACACGGTGATCATCCGGGGGATGACCTGTTTCTGCAACGCGGGCATTAGTCCAGGTCCTATCAGGGATGATTACCAACTTTCTCCTGGAATAGGAGCGCACAAGTTGCATACTCGTCCTCTCGCGTGGAACGAGGCGAGAAAAATGTGCGACGAGGAAGGAGGACACCTCGCGGTTATCAACTCGATTGCGGAAGCTGCAGTGAGTCGTATAGTCCTCTCGTTTATTTCTCGTTTCTCCTTCTAAAGGCTAAATATTAATTTCGACAAAGAAAATTAACCCTTAAATGGAAACGAGGACTCGATATCGTCATATCGTTATTCTGTACTTTGCATATCCAATCTGGCAGTACATTAGATTCTTACGCACACTGATAATAGCCGATGGAAATTTACGTACATTTTGTACACGCGGAGATAATACTACATCATAATTTTCTTTAACTTAGATGCTGAATGTGATATTACGGAGATAGGGTAATTTTACTGCAGTTTATAGCGGCATGAAAATAAGCAATGATTGAGTATGCAAATTGGGAGCTGCAGTGAGTCGTATAGTCCTCTCGTTTATTTGTCGTTTCTCCTTCTAAAGGCTAAATATTAATTTTGAATAAAAAAATTAACCCTTAAATGGAAACGAGGACTCGATATCGTCATATCGTTATTCTGTACTTTGCACATCCAATCTGACAGTACATCAGATTCTTACGTACACTGATAAAAGTTGATGAAATTTTACGTACATTTTGTACACACGGAGATAATACTATATCATAATTTTCTTTAACTTAGATGCTGAATGTGATATTACGGAGATAGGATAATTTTACTGCAGTTTATAGCGGCATGAAATTAACCAATAATTGAATATGCAAATTGGGAGCTGCAGTGATTCGTATAATCCTCTCGTTTATTTCTCGTTTCTCCTTCTAAAGGCTAAATATTAATTTTGACAAAGAAAATTAACCCTTAAATGGAAACGAGGACTCGATATCGTCATATCGTTATTTTGTACTTTGCATATCCAATCTGGCAGTATATCAGATTCTTACGTACACTGATAAAAGCCGATGGAAATTTACGTACATTTTGTACACGCGGAGATAATACTGTATCATAATTTTCTTTAACTTATGATGCTGAATGTGATATTACGGAGATAGGGTAATTTTACTGCAGTTTATAGCGGCATGAAAATAACCAATGATTGAGTATGCAAATGGGGATGGGCATTTTTATCAGGCACTTATTAATCATAATTTAAAAGGAAAAATATGTTTAATCTGGTTTTCAAAGTGGAACATTTATAATCCTTTGCATAAGATTGCAGTATGGTGGCAGCGTGTAAAAATGACCAAATTTCCATTTAAGGATTAGTTTATATCCTCCGTGAAAATAGCGCATTTATGTGAATTCTGTGCTACGTTTATTTAAATGTTTACTTTCAGTCCCTTGTATGTAGCAAAGTGAACAAGTTCTAAAACCCTTCTCCTACCTTTCAAAAGTGTTTCGGAACTTTCTAACCTACTTAATGATGTAATTTAGTTGATATCGTAGCGTTTGGAAAATAAACGATCATTTTCTTAGGTACTCCGAGAGATGTTGAAGAAAGCTGGCCCCATAAAGGGCGCCGCTTATGGCGAAGTCGCGTATTTGGGGATGCACGATTTGTACAAAGAGGGCGAGTGGGTGACTATACTTGGCGACAGTCTGCCAAAAGCGGGATATACAAAATGGAGCAACAAGTGGAATGGACAACCGGACAATAGCGGTGGCAAACAACATTGCGGCGTGATGCTGATCGATGGGGACTTGGACGATGTTGTCTGCACCGTGTCTTTTGCTTATTTCTGCGAACTTCCCATCTCGTAGATTTTCATTTCATCGATTGTTTGAGGTAAAAACGTCGATACAACTGTCGTGTACATGTGCCAGGCGAGTGGAATAAAAGTGTAGAATATTTATCAGAATTTTGCAACTTGCTGTAAAAACAACTCATGGAGGGAAAAGAAGGTGAATCAACGATATGCTGCGTAGTAATAGAAATTTTGTTGGGAATAATTAATTTTGTAGTGTACTTATCAATTTACAAAGTTACTCCCTCGATATACCTCGGTATGCCCTGAAACGAGGTAGTATGTGCTGTCGTTCAGATTTCAATTGCTACATGGTGGTATGTTTTTTTTTTGTATTAGGTATCATGCAATAGCAAAGTTATGAAAAATACAAGGTCACAGTTGCATGGGATACCACAGTTTGTAATGATATTACTTTTATTACTAGACATTCCTTACAAGAAAGCTATTAACCTTTCCGTAGTTGTACGTCATATCGATTCTAAGAGCAGGTGCATATCGTACAGTTCCCAGGATCAATTGATGATACAATTGAGTTATTTAAAACATTATAGTCTTGTCAGTATGACAAGGTTACCGTCTTAAGTTTCTTTTAACCCTAATCGCTGTATTCCCGGTGCCGGATTCTAGGAGCTGGTGCATATCGTACAGTTCCCGGGGTCAATTGATGATACAATTGTGTTATTTAAAACATTATAGTCTTGTCAGTATATCAAGGGTACCGTCGTAAGTTACTTTTAACCTGATCGCTGTATTCCCGGTGCCGGATTCTACGAGCTGGTGCCTATCGTACAGTTCCCAGGATCAATTGATGATACAAATGTGTTATTTAAAACATTATAGTTTTGTCAGTATGACAAGGGTACCGTCGTAAGTTACTTTTAACCCTGATCGCTGTATTCCTGGTGCCGGATTCTAGGAGCTGGTGCATGTCGTACAGTTCTCGGGGTCAATTGATGGTACAATTGTGTTATTTAAAACATTATAGTCTTGTCAGTATATCAAGGGTACCGTCGTAAGTTACTTTTAACCTGATCGCTGTATTCCCGGTGCCGGATTCTACGAGCTGGTAGCTATCGTACAGTTCCCGGGGTCAATTGATGATACAATTGTGGTTTTTAAAACATTATAGTCTTGTCAGTATGACAAGGGTACCGTCGTAAGTTACTTTTAACCTGATCGCTGTATTCCCGGTGTCGGATTCTAGGAGCTGGTGCATATCGTACAGTTCCCGGGGTCAATTGATGATGCAATTGTGTTTTTTAAAACATTATAGTCTGGTCAGTATGACAAGGGTACCGCTGTAAGTTACTTTTAACCCTGATCGCTGTATTCCTGGTGCCGGATTCTAGGAGCTGGTGCCGGATTCTAGGAGCTGGTGCCTATCGTACAGTTCCCGGGGTCAATTGATGATACAATTGTGTTTTTTAAAATATTATAGTCTTGTCAGTATATCAAGGGTACCGTCGTAAGTTACTTTTCACCCTGATCGCTGTATTCCCGGTGTCGGATTCTACGAGCTGGTAGCTATCGTACAGTTCCCGGGGTCAATTGATGACACAAATGTGTTATTTAAAACATTATAGTCTTGTCAGTATATCAAGGGTACCGTCGTAAGTTATTTTTCACCCTGATCGCTGTATTCCCGGTGTCGGATTCTAGAAGCTGGTGCCTATTGTACAGTTCCCGGGGTCAATTGATGATACAATTGTGTTATTTAAAACATTATAGTCTTGTCAGTATATCGAGGGTACCGTCTTAAGATACTTTTAACCCTGATCGCTGTATTCCTGGTGCCGGATTCTAGGAGCTGGTGCCTATTGGACAGTTCCCGGGGTCAATTGATGATACAATTGTGTTTTTTAAAACATTATAGTCTTGTCAGTATATCAAGGGTACCGTCGTAAGTTACTTTTAACCCTGATCGCTGTATTCCCGGTGCAGGATCAAGGACTAGTCCAACAAGGACGACCGTCGTCGTGCGGGGTTAGTTCCGGAAACCGAGCGAACGCCCACTGGGGACATTGCCTAGGAGATGGCTGGAGAACCAGTCCCTCGGGATGTTCCGCAAGCCGGGAACTTGGCCGAGTAGATTTTTTAAGTTCCTCTGGACCCCCAGAGAGAAGACTTCCGAAAGCGGGTCGCGATGCCCGGTTTACTTCATTACGTTCGGCGACTCTCCCTGTCCTCCGACGCCCGTCCGGACCATTCGGACGCCTAATTATTGTCCCACAATTTTCCGGGGAAAAAAGTTTCCGTCGCGGTGGGCCAAACTTTCCCCTGACACGGCGAACTGTCAGAAAATTAACTAACGAGTAGCTGGGGCGACCTATAGCTCGCCCTATGGTCCGCAGTTGGTACATTGTGGGATCTACCATGGAGTGGATTATCTCCAATGTGAGGAAAGCAAGAGAATGATGGATTTAAATTTCCATTTCGGTGATTTGTTCGTAACCATTTCCGCATGTGCAGAAATAATTCACGGTAACGATACAAAACGTTACTTGGTTTATCCTCGGTCCCACTAATCTCGGTCAAAAAGCTAATCTTCGGTTACAATGGTACCGTAGTTGGTACATTGTGGGATCCACCGTGGAGTGGATTTTCTCCAATGTGAGGAAAGCAAGAGAATGATGGATTTAAATTTCCATTTCGGTGATTTGTTCGTAACCATTTCCCCACGTGGAGAAATAATTCACGGTCACGATACAAAACGTTACTTGGTTTATGCTCGGTCCCACTAATCTCGGTCAAAAAGCTAATGCTCGGTTACAATGAGTTGCACGTTCTGCTACATTTTAACGGCCGGTTAACCCAGTTAATCTCCAAGTTCTTTGACGAATTCATCACATCCCATTAATATTTTTCTCCTATTCGCTTAAGATTCAAGAAATCGTTTTCAGTACACGGTTCATCGATAATTTTCGGACTGTTTACGCACGATGATCCGTTTAATTCTCAGTTAAATAATGGCAGTCTTTTGGGCGGTTGTAAACATACAAGTAATTGTAATTAATGATCAACTTCCTAACCGAGGTTGATGGAGCTGGCCCTTCGAGTATGGTTAATCGTCAAGGGTTAAACATTCTCCTCGAAATGTTTCCACATTGAGTCTTGTCAATACTTTGTATATGTGCAGTAAGAAATATTGCTTGACATTGGATTTTGGTATCACTATACGCAGCCATCGTGTAAGAATCGTTAATACAGAATTTCAGAAATTGAAAGTGTGAAAAACTGATGTATTGTAGAAAATATAAAACTTCGAATGAAACTAAAAACCCCGATAGGAAAGATTTGAAAGAATGGTTTATCATGGAATATCATAAATTCTAAGTGTATAGAGGTCTCATGATTAACATTTAAAAACTGATGTATTGTACAAGATTACAAAGTTTTTAACGTAAATAAAAAACCCGGCAGTAAAGATTTGAAAGTTCGGTCCGATGCTTTGTCGGTGGTTATGGGAAGCTGGCCGGAAGCGAAGCCTGGCCTCTTTTGGCCGGGCGAGTCCGGAAGTCGGTGCCAACTTCCGGTGGTACCGGGGTGCGCCGATAAATTGCCGAATACTGTCACCCCTTTACCCCTGTTCCAATTTTTCTGCTGAATTCTCCCGTAAACAGGAAAACTGTGAGAAATATTCGAGACGGCAATGCTCGCCGACCCTGAGATCGAATTTCGGCCTCAAAGCCATCTCAATAAAGCTCGATTGGGGCAGCGAAATGACCAACGATTGAGCATGTCAATTTACGTGGGGATGTTTTATCAGGGTAGCTCGAACCAAAAGGGAGGTCCGTTGGTGATAAATCAGCGAGCACGCACCCCTGTTTGATTTTTCTGGCGAATCCTCCGGTGGAATCCTCCTGGAAGACCGTGAGCGAAATCGGGACGACAATGCTCGCCGGTCCTGAGATCGAGTGGTTTCGGACTCAAAGCGATCCCCGTAAATCCGGGGCGGTTTAGCAAGGGTGGGTGGACATTTATTTAGCAATAAAACGTCACCGGCGGACTTTCTGTCCAAGGGCCTTTGGCCCTGGCCCGGTGGCGGCTGTAAATCGGCCAGCCACCGGTTACGGCACCGCCGCCGGTAATAAAGACCGGAGACATCGTGTTTCGAGGGCCATCGACCACCTTCCTCTCTCCCGGCCGAGTGGTTAGGGCTGAATAAATTTCTGGCCGTTGCTTACGACCCCGGGGAGAAACGTCGCCGTTCACTTAGCGAGATATAAGAAATAGCGTGATATGAGAGAGTCAGTCTGTATATTAGAAGTCAGATCCTTGGGGAAAGTACTCCCCGAATTGGGGGTACCGATTCGTTCCAAATTTCACCACGGGAATATGGAGGCCCTAAACTACGTCCTGGAACTCAGGAAATCTCAGTTTTCATATAACTTTATTTATTTACCATGGACTAGAACCAACATGGCGTGGTCCGTGCACGGTTTGGCTGTTTTACGCTTCTTGGAGGCTTTGGATGGGACATTAAGGACTTTAATTTTGTTCACTGCCAAAGACTACTCCTATCGGTCCCAAAAAATTCTGAGCATAAGTACTCCCCGTGATCTACTTGTGCAAATTAATGCAAGCCCCCGCGAGAAGCCTAAGCCGTGGAAAAAAAATCTTGAAAATGGTCATTTTAACGTTTTCGAGGTTCTGGGGGGCTACGAATTTCCCTAACGTCAAAGAACCCATTGGAGTAAAAGAATCCGAATTTCCACGATTTCGGAATTTCTTTATCTTTTTGAACAGCTCTGGTTTTTCTAAGAAAAATTGCCACAAACGTCTACATCACGGAAACTTTCCAATAAGCCTGTTGATATTGTTTGTTGTGTGTATTTAAAAAGTATTATTGCTTCGCATTAATGATAACGCAATTTTAACATAAGTAACAATTTGGTCATCGACCATCCAAACACAGATGTTATCTGGTCCGAATATATTACAGATAACTCCATCGGTATTATCAAGTAATTCCTGGGTTTTACTTTACGCTCTACTTTTATCCGGCAATGAAAAAAAGAAGTTATATTAAAACATAGCAATCTAATCGAAAACCGCGTTATCATATTCCTGACGGTAAAATGTTATCTAACGTCTATTTAAGGTTTTACTAGGAAGCGTCACAAAATAGTTGCACATTAGAAGATTGTGA